GTGTGCGTGGGGGGTGGGGGGGGGGGGGGGGTGGGGGGGCTCATGTTTTCCAGCGTGTCGAGTTGTTATGCAAGCTCACAATGGACCAGGGAGACAGAGACAAATGTGCAGGGTAGGACCGTGTGCAGCTGGAGAAAGTAGTGCTTCTGGGAAAAGTGACTCAACTGTGATTGATGGGTTTACGCACTAAACAGAAATATGCCCAACATGTACCTGTCATGTGTAAGCCCTACTCTCAGGTGCTGTTTTCCCTTTGCTCCCTTGACAAGTTGGTGCGATGCAGCATTTCAGTATTGTTCAGCACATGCCACTGAAAAAGACTAAAAAGCGTTTCAAGATTGAATAATGTCAAGAGTTTAAGTCATTTATTAAACAAAGTAACCGGTTCCTGCTCCTCAGCTGTGAGTATTTGCATTGTTTTTCTTCGTTACACCTTCAGGCAGCTTGAAGACTTTCCCGTAAGCTTTAGGAACTCGTGACAGGTATATTGTCTCGCATTAAATAGACCTGAATCTCACACAATTTATCTACAGAAATCGTCTACGGACGCACTGCAATGAAGGGATCATTACCTGTACCCCTAAAACTGACCCAATAGGCTGAACTCTGTTGAGAACCAGATGTGTGTGGTCCGGGTCGTGGCACAGCAGTTCTTAAAGAGCTGAACCAGATGTTAACGAGTAGTTACACACATTTCCTGGTTGAATTACCCCTCAACACCCTGCAGCCCTATCTACCTATCCTGCCCGTTCCCTTCCCCTCCCCCTGCCCATTCCAGAGTGCAAACAAAGGTGAAAGGTCATATATCATCCACTGTTGTTTAACCACCATTACACAGTAATGGACACTCACATGACCTTATTTCCTCTCTGTTTATTTGTCACTTGAGAGCTCTGCAGGGGAACTGGGAACTCTGGATACCTGACCTGGTCTTGTTCTTCTTCATCTTTCTATTCTCTGCTGTTTTATGTATCTTTTCTTTCCCTCACTCAGTGCTCTCTCCTGGTATTCACTGACTGTGACTTTGTAAATGTTAGGGTTAGGGTTAGACAGATAAAAGATGACTCCAGCTCCTTAAGTGTTATATCTCTATTATGTCAGCATATCTAGCATCCACTTGCATATTTTACCAGCAGTAATTTCTAACCCTCGTGTCTTATAAGAGAACAGGAACCAAACGGAGGAGGGTGTGGTAGGAAGATTTCTCTGAAAGTTTGTCACCATACGAGCTCAGATACACGTCATGGATTGCTTAATGCTAGCCTTGGCCGCTCGTAGCAGGGTGTACCCAGTGTTGATACGAGTTTCAGCCATGACGGTAACAACTTTCTGTCAGAGGTATGCAGTCTTATGCAAATACATAATGATGGGTGTGCATCTGCATGTGTGGGTAGCATGGAACACAAATCAAAACAAAGAAGCTTTCACTGTGGCCGCCCTCTCCTTCTGAGATGTCGCGACCTGAATTTGTTTTGTTTCTCTGCCTCTGGTGTTTGAGCTTCACTTTCCTGTAAGGCTCCATGGTCACTGAGATTTTCCAAGTGCATCTTTTTGACTTTGAGGAAGCAAAGTGTCCGCAGGGAATGGAGCTAGATATATACAGTATATACAGTATACCCACGCACACAAGTGTGTGTTGGATTTGGCTGCCTGGGAAGTGGGAGGAAACAAGCTCTGCAAAACTCAGGCTGGAAATATGGGACTGGAAGCGGTGGCCAAAACATCTCCCCAGGGTGTGGTTGTCTGTGGGACTCTGCCTCTTTGGTCCATGTGAATGTGTGTGTGTGCGCGTGCCCAGCAGCATTCAGACACCACGCCCAGCTGACATTTAAACTCCTCTAGCGAGGGCTGAAAATGTCAGTAAATGATCAGTGCTGGATGTTCCTGTGGTTGTTGAACACATAGAAACCGGTCTCCTCTTTACTGTGAATCTCTCCTTTCCAAAGCGAGCCCTTCTAGTTTAACCCCCCCCCCCCCCCCCTTTCAGCCCCTTTCCCTCGCTCATTAGGGCCACAAAGCCATGTTGCCCAATCTACCTTCTGACCCCTCGCATGACAGGATTTACTAAAACAAAAAAATAGGCTGAGGCCCAAAGAGAGATTAGATTAACCCTTGGAAGCTACTGTGGTGTATTTCACCACTGAGTAAATAACGTGAGGAGATTGAATCCCTCTATTGAATTGTCTTTTTTCTGATAGTGCTGACATTTTTTTTGTCCTTTGGTACTTAATTGTTTGTGTTACTTGTTCTAGTATTGATGGACTAAAACTAGGTGCATAAAGCTTTCTGACACTGTGTTCAAAGTGGGAATGATACCAGAAACTCTACAGTTGTTGTTTTACTACCTAGCCCTGGGGGGAGTTTAGAATATGTTGAACATTGTTTTTGTATTTTTCACACCCTGCACACAGTGGTCGGTATGAACAGGACAAAGTGGGTGAGAAAAGGTCTCAGGACAGCCAAGGACAGTGTGGCTACTGTACATGTTGTGCACCTCTACAAAGACATTTTGAGGATTTAATTCAATTCAACTTCAGTTTATTTTGTAGAGCACAAAATCACAAATTTCCCTCAGAGGGCGTAACAATCTGTACACATACGACATCCTCTGTCCCAGGACCCTCGCATCGGTACAGGAAAAACTCCTAACAAGGAAGAAATCTTACAACACATTCAATGCA